CTAGTGGTAGGGTCATTCACAAAGGGGAGCTCCGTCTTCTGCTTCAACAGCCTTGGCGGCGAAGGGGTCTGGGTAAGAGGTCCCTTGATGGACTGGTCCGCTGGTTCAAGGCGGCAAGAACCTTTTCTAGGAAGGATACCCGGATGACCCTCAAAGCGATCATTGCCCTTGCTATCAAAAGGAGGATTGGGTTCGATATCCGTAGGAAGATTGTTGTGCGTGCGGTTTTTTACCATAGATTGCAATCTAGCTCGGTTTTGGCTCTGGTGGTTCGGATCATTGACGAATCGACCTTTCCCTTGTCTATTTGTGGGCTCGTTAAGCGGCGCGTACGTTTTGTCTAGAAAAAGAACAAAAAGGTAGGAGATTTAATTTGGACCCAAAATCGATTTGTACAGGGGGATTTTCCCATGGTATGTGCTTGCGAAGGAGAGATGTTTTGGAAAAGGCATGGATTGCATGTTATGACTCGGATCGAAGATATCCCTTCTCTACCCGATCTACTGAGGAACTCTCGGAATATTCCGCTTTCTGATGGAAGGATGGGCGTTAGAAACCTGGGGAAGGAGTTGGTGGCGGTGTGCAGGCTGCTTAGGTCGGCTTTTGTGATTGATCCTCTTTAGTTGCGGGAATGTTGGTCGGACACAAGATTGAAGCATCCTTCGATGAACTCTCTGACGAATGATTGGATCGAGAGACTGAGGAAGTTTGTGTGTCCCAATTGATCGGAATTCTGCTGACACCCTGGTTATCTGTGCTGAATTGTATCGACATTTCTTGCATCTTGCTTTTGATTTTAGTCCCTCCTTTTGGTCGGCTGAAGCATCTCAGGACGAGATCCTGGCAAGAATGGAGGGGCTCTTCCGTTCCCATAGGCTGGAGCAACTGGGGAAATGAGACTCTAAGGGGTCTTTTGGCCATGCTTATGTTTTGCCTAAACATAAGGACCTCCTTAGGTGGCGTCCCATATCACCGATATTTTTGGAGCCTACAAGATTGGCCTCGTCTAGGGTTGCTAAGGCTCTCAATTGCCTGCTCTTCGCACTGCCCCCTAGATCTAACTTCAATCTCAAGTCAGTCGATAGGTTTACTGACGGGATTTGTAAGATGGATGCTGCATTGAATAGGCTTTCGAGGGTCTTTGATGTGCTTACCGCCTCATTTGACGTCAAAGATATGTTTGTTTCGCTGCCTCAGAGCGATATTCTTAATGCTGTATCTTGGTTGTTGTCCTTGTTTCGGCTAAAGGGCTATCGAGGGGTTAAAATAACCCTACGAGGTAAGGCTGCCTTTTTATCCTTTGGCTCACGTCGACCCGATTGTATTCTGGTGACCTTGCAATCAATTGAAGATATGGTGGCTACTGATTTGGACTTCACGTATATCTGGTATGAGCGGAGACTCCTGAGGCAGGTCGTTGGGGTACCTATGGGAAAATCCACTAGTTGTTCCTTGGCCTGCATCCTGTGTGCTTATGCGGAGAACCGCTTTCTTCTATCACTTGGAGGTGACCGACGGTTGGTCTTTGGCTTTAGGATTGTCGATGATGTTACCATTTTTGTTGCGGTTTTGGGAAGAGATGGTCGCGGTCGTGCTAGTCGTATCCTGTCTGCCTTTGGGTCCTGCTACGGAGACCGCCTTCGGCTTGAGAGGACCGATGACGGTTTGGAGTCCTGGGTTTTTGTCGGGGTTTTGGTTGAGCGAGAGGGGGCTTACCATTCGTACCTCAACTATTGTTAAGAAAGCGGATAGCCTCTGGCGGCTAGGACGGTTAACCTTTGGGTCTTTTCAGGATTTTGATTCATATTCCACTAAACAGGCCAAGGTTGGTGCTATCACTAACTCTGTGTCGAGTTTTTCGGCTATCTTCGAACAGGTTCCGCAGGATGACTGCTTTCCTCGCCGTTCGACAATAATTGATGCTGCGTAACTACCCGATGAAGCTGATTACACGGGCTTTCTCACGTTTCGCGGAGAAGTCCGGTTCGGTGGAAGCCTCTATTGTGGCTCGTATGACGTCATGAGGGTTCGGCTGGCGGATTGGCAGTTTGCCTTACCCGGGCTCTTAGGCCTGGTATCGATTCTCGATATGGGAAGCTTAGGTGGCCTGTTTTTTTGGAGAGTACTATTGCCTTTTGGGTGGCCTTTTTGGACCCACCCACCGCGCAGGTGTATTCTTCGCAGCTTCTTTCGGAACCTTTCCGGTTACGCGGTCCTTTTACGAAATACGGTTGTGCGTTGGTGGCGGTGCATTTTTACCGCCACCTGGGTGCTTTGATCCCTCTCACCTCTGGTCTTCTGACGATGACGGTTCTGAGGACTTTTTTCCTTCTGGTTTTGCTATATCTAGGCGGGGTGCGTTGATGATGTCCTCTCACTTTGCATCTGTAGCGCTGACGCGCCGATCTGCGACTCTGGGTTGCATGCTCTGAGTTGCTTTTGAAGCCTTCTGGGGACGAACAGTTTGAGGGACACTTATGGTGGTCACTCGCGAGCTGTTCTTCGTGTTATGACGGGCGGACTCCTGC